CACGTCCACGTCCACGACCACGTCCACGACCACGTCCACGACCACGTCCACGTCCACGTCAACGTCCACGTCCACGACCACGACCACGTCCACGTCCACGTCTACGTCCACCTCCACCTCCACGTCCACGTCCACGTCCACGTCCATGTCCACATCCAAGTCCACGTCCAGGTCCACGTCCACGTTCACGTCCACGTCCACGACCACGTCCACGTCCACGTCGACGTCCAAGTCCACGTCCACGTCCACGTCCACGTCCACGCCCACGTCCACGCCCACGTCCACGTCCACCTCCACGTCCACGTCGACGTCGACGTCCACGTCCATGTCCACCTCCACGTCCACGTCCACGCCCACGTCCACGTCCACGTCCACGTCCACGCCCACGTCCACGCCACGTCCACGTCCACCTCCACGTCCACGTCCACGTCGACGTCCACGTCCATGTCCACCTCCACGTCCACCTCCACGTCCACGTCCACGTCCACTTCCAAGTCCACGTCCACGTCCACGACCACGTCCAGGACCACGTCCACGTCCACGTCCACGTCCACGACCACGACCACGTCCACGTCCACGTCCACGTCCAGGTCCACGTCCACGTCCACGTCCCCGTCCACGTCCACGTCCACGTCCACGACCACGTCCACGTCCACGTCCACGACCACGTCCACGTCTACGACCACGACCACCTCCACGTCCACGTCCACGTCCACGTCCACGACCACGTCCACGTCCACGTCCACGTCCACGTCCACGTCCACGACCACGTACACGTCCACGTCCACGACCACGTCCACGACCACGTCCACGTCCACGTCCACGACCACGTCCACGTCCACGACCACGTCCACGTCCATGTCCACGTCCACGTCCACGACCACGACCACGACCACGTCCACGACCACGTCCACGTCCACGACCACGTCCACGTCCACGACCACGTCCACGTCGACGTCCACGACCACGTCCACGTCCACGTCCACGTCCAGGTCCACGTCCACGTCCACGTCCACGTCCACGACCACGGCCACAACCAGGTCCACGTCCACGACCACGTCCACGTCCAGGTCCACGTCCACGGCCAAGTCCACGTCCACGACCACGTCCACGACCACGACCACGTCCACGTCGACGTCCACGACCAGGTCCACGTCCACGGCCACGTCCACGTCCACGACCACGTCCACGTCCACGTCCACGTCCACGTCGACGTCCACGACCAGGTCCACGTCCACGGCCACGTCCACGTCCACGACCACGTCCACGTCCACGTCCACGTCCACGTCAACGTCCACGTCCACGTCCACGTCCACGTCCACGACCACGTCCACGTCCACGTCCACGACCACGTCCACGTCCACGTCCACGACCACGTCCACGTCCACTACCACGTCCACGTCCACGTCCACGACCACGTCCACGACCACGTCCACGACCACGTCCACGACCACGTCCACGTCCACGTCCACGTCCACGTCGACGTCCACGACCACGACCACGTCCACGTCCGCGTCCACGTCCACGTCCAGGACCACGTCCACGACCACGTCCACGTCCACGTCCACGACCACGTCCACGTCCACGTCCACGTCCACGTCCACGACCACGACCACGTCCACGTCCACGTCCACGTCCACGACCACGTCCACGTCCACGACCACGACCACGTCCACGTCCGCGTCCACGTCCACGTCCACGTCCACGACCACGACCACGTCCACGTCCGCGTCCACGTCCACGTCCACGACCACGACCACGTCCACGTCCAGGTCCACGTCCACGACCACGTCCACGTCCACGTCCACGACCACGTCCACGTCCACGACCACGTCCACGACCACGTCCACGACCACGTCCGCGTCCACGTCCACGACCACGTCCACGTCCACGTCCACGTCCACGTCCACGTCCACGACCACGTCCACGACCACGTCCACGTCCGCGTCACGACCACGTCCACGACCACGTCCACGTCCGCGTCCACGTCCGCGTCCACGTCCACGTCCACGTCCACGTCCACGACCACGTCCACGTCCACGTCCACGTCCACGTCCACGTCCACGTCCACGTCCACGTCCGCGTCCACGTCCACTTCCGCGTCCACGTCCACTTCCACGTCCACGTCCGCGTCCACGTCCACGACCACGTCCACGTCCGTGTCCACGTCCACGTCCACGACCACGTCCACGTCCACGTCCGCGTCCGCGTCCACGTCCACGACCAAGTCCGCGTCCACGTCCACGTCCAAGTCCACGTCCACGTCCACGTCCAAGTCCACGTCCACGTCCACGTCCAAGTCCGCGTCCACGTCCACGTCCACATCCACGACCGCGTCCACGTCCGCGTCCGCGTCCACGTCCACGTCCGCGTCCACGTCCACGTCCACGACCACGTCCACGACCACGTCCACGTCCACGTCCACGTCCACGTCCACGTCCACGACCACGTCCACGACCACGTCCACGTCCACGACCACGTCCACGTCCACGACCACGTCCACGTCCACGACCACGTCCACGTCCACGTCCACGTCCACGTCCACGTCCACGTCCACGTCCACGTCCACGGCCACGTCCACGTCCACGTCCACGACCACGTCCACGTCCAGGTCCATGTCCACGACCACGTCCACGTCCAGGTCCACGTCCACGGCCACGTCCACGTCCACGACCACGTCCACGACCACGTCCACGTCCACGTCGACGTCCACGACCAGGTCCACGTCCACGTCCACGGCCACGTCCAGGTCCACGACCACGTCCAGGTCCACGTCCACGTCAAGGTCCACGTCCACGTCCACGTCCACGTCCACGACCACGTCCACGTCCACGTCCACGACCACGTCCACGTCCACGACCACGACCACGTCCACGTCCACGTCCACGTCCACGACCACGTCCACGACCACGTCCAAGTCCACGTCCACGACCACGTCCACGACCACGTCCACGACCACGTCCACGTCCACGTCCACGTCGACGTCCACGTCCACGACCACGTCCACAACCACGTCCACGTCGACGTCCACGTCCAGGTCCACGTCCACGACCAAGTCCACGACCACGTCCAAGTCCACGTCCACGTCCACGTCCACGACCACGTCCAGGACCACGTCCACGTCCACGTCCACGTCCACGTCCAGGTCCACAACCACGTCCACGTCCACGTCCAGGTCCACGACCACGTCCACGTCCACGTCCACGTCCCCGTCCACGTCCCCGTCCACGTCCACGTCCACGTCCAAGTCCGCGTCCACGACCACGTCCACCACGTCCGCGTCCACGTCCGCGTCCACGTCCACGTCCACGTCCGCGTCCACGTCCACGTCCACGTCCACGACCACGTCCACGTCAACGTCCGCGTCCGCGTCCACGTCCACGTCTGCGTCCGCGTCCACGTGCACGTCCACGACCACGTCCACTTCCACGTCCACGTTCACGTCCACGACCACGTCCACGACCACGACCACGTCCACGACCACGTCCAGGACCACGTCCACGTCCACGTCCACGTCCACGTCCACGACCACGTCCACGTCCACGACCACGACCACGTCCACGTCCACGTCCACGTCCACGTCCACGTCCACGTCCACGTCCACGACCACGTCAACGTCCACGTCCACGTCCACGTCCACGACCACGTCCACGTCCACGACCACGACCACATCCACGTCCACGACCACGACCACGTCCACGTCCACGTCCACGTCCACGACCACGTCCACGTCCACGACCACGACCACGTCCACGTCCACGTCCACGACCACGTCCACGTCCACGTCCACGACCACGTCCACGTCCACGTCCACGTCCACGTCCACGTCCACGACCACGTCCACGTCCACGTCCACGTCCACGTCCACGTCCACGACCACGTCCACGTCCACGTCCACGTGCACATTCACATCAACGTCCACGACCACGTCCACGTCCACGACCACGTCCACGTCCATGTCCATGTCCACGTCCACGTCCAGGTCCACGTCCACGCCCACGTCCACGTTGACGCCACGTTCACGTCCACGCCCACGTCCACGTCGACCCCACGTCCACGTCCACCTCCACCTCCACGTCCACGTCCACGTCCACGTCCACGACCACGTCCAGGACCACGTCCACGTCCACGTCCACGTCCACGTCCACGTCCAGGTCCAGGTCCAGGTCCACGTCCACGTCCACGTCCCCGTCCGCGTCCACGTCCGCGTCCACGTCCACGTCCGCGTCCACGTCCGCGTCCGCGTCCACGTCCACGTCCGCGCGTCCGCGTCCACATCCGCGTCCACGTCCGCGTCCACGTCCGCGTCCACGTCCGCGTCCACGTCCGCGTCCATGTCCGCGTCCACGTCCGCGTCCACGTCCACGACCACGACCACGACCACGTCCGCGTCCACGTCCACGTCCACGTCCACGTCCACGTCCACGACCACGACCACGACCACGTCCACGTCCACGTCCACGTCCACGTCCAAGTCCACGTCCACGTCCACGTCCACGTCCACGTCCACGACCACGTCCACGTCCACGTCCACGTCCAAGTCCACGTCCACGTCCACCTCCACGTCCACGTCCACGTCCACATCCACGTCCACGTCCACGTCCAGGTCCACGTCCACGCCCACGTCCACGCCCACGTCCACGTTGACGCCACGTTCACGTCCACGCCCACGTCCACGTCGACCCCACGTCCACGTCCACCTCCACCTCCACGTCCACGTCCACGTCCACGTCCACGTCCACGTCCACGTCCACATCCACGTCCACGTCCACGTCCAAGTCCACGTCCACGTCCACGTCCACGTCCAAGTCCACGTCCACGTCCACGTCCACGACCACGTCCAGGACCACGTCCACGTCCACGTCCACGTCCACGTCCACGTCCAGGTCCAGGTTTAGGTCCACGTCCACGTCCACGTCCCCGTCCGCGTCCACGTCCGCGTCCACGTCCGCGTCCACGTCCGCGTCCGCGTCCACGTCCACGTCCGCGCGTCCGCGTCCACGTCCGCGTCCACGTCCGCGTCCACGTCCGCGTCCACGTCCGCGTCCACGTCCGCGTCCACGTCCGCGTCCACGTCCGCGTCCACGTCCACGACCACGACCACGTCCGCGTCCACGTCCACGTCCACGTCCACGTCCACGACCACGACCACGACCACGTCCACGTCCACGTCCACGTCCACGTCCAAGTCCACGTCCACGTCCACGTCCAAGTCCACGTCCACGTCCACGTCCACGTCGACGTCCAAGTCCACGACCACGACCACGTCCACGTCCACGTCCACGTCCACGTCCACGACCACGTCCACGTCCACGTCCACGTCCACGTCCAAGTCCACGTCCACGTCCACCTCCACGTCCACGTCCACGTCCACATCCACGTCCACGTCCACGTCCACGTCCACGTCCACGTCCACGACCACCTCCACGACCACGTCCACGACCACGTCCACGACCACGTCCACGTCCACTTCCACGTCCACGTCCACGTCCACTAGGTCCATGACCACGTCCACCTCCACGACCACGTCCACGTCCACGTCCACGTCCAGGTTCACGACCATGTCCACGTCCACGACCACGTCCACGTCCGCGTCCACGTCCGCGTCCACGTCCACGTCCGCGCGTCCGCGTCCACATCTGCGTCCACGTCCGCGTCCACGTCCGCGTCCACGTCCGCGTCCACGTCCGCGTCCACGTCCGCGTCCACGTCCACGACCACGACCACGACCACGTCCGCGTCCACGTCCACGTCCACGTCCACGTCCACGTCCACGACCACGACCACGACCACGTCCACGTCCACGTCCACGTCCAAGTCCACGTCCACGTCCACGTCCAAGTCCACGTCCACGTCCACGTCCACGTCGACGTCCAAGTCCACGACCACGACCACGTCCACGTCCACGTCCACGTCCACGTCCACGACCACGTCCACGTCCACGTCCACGTCCAAGTCCACGCCCACGTCCACCTCCACGTCCACGTCCACGTCCACATCCACATCCACGTCTACGTCCATGTCCACGTCCACGCCCACGTCCACGTTGACGCCACGTTCACGTCCACGCCCACGTTCACGTCCACGCCCACGTCCACGTCCACGTCCACGTCCACGTCCACGTCCACGACCACGTCCAGGACCACGTCCACGTCCACGTCCACGTCCACGTCCACGTCCACGTCCAGGTCCAGGTCCACGTCCACGTCCACGTCCACGTCCCCGTCCGCGTCCACGTCCGCGTCCACGTCCGCGTCCACGTCCGCGTCCGCGTCCACGTCCGCGTCCGCGCGTCCGCGTCCACGTCCGCGTCCACGTCCGCGTCCACGTCCGCGTCCACGTCCGCGTCCACGTCCGCGTCCACGTCCGCGTCCACGTCCGCGTCCACGTCCGCGTCCACGTCCACGACCACGACCACGACCACGTCCGCGTCCACGTCCACGTCCACGTCCACGTCCACGTCCACGACCACGACCACGTCCACGTCCACGTCCACGTCAAGTCCACGTCCACGTCCACGTCGACGTCCAAGTCCACGACCACGACCACGTCCACGTCGACGTCCACGTCCACGACCACGACCACGTCCACGTCCACGTCCAAGACCACGTCCACGTCCACGTCCACGTCCACGTCCAAGTCCACGTCCACGTCCACGTCCACGTCCACGTCCACATCCACATCCACGTCCACGTCCAAGTCCACGTCCACGTCCACCTCCACGACCACGTCCACGACCACGTCCACGTCCTCAACCACATCCAGGTCCACGACCACGTCCACGACCACGTCCACGTCCACGACCACGTCCACGACCACGACCACGACCACGTCCACGTCCACGACCACGTCCACGTCCACGTCCACGACCACGTCAACGTCCACGTCCACGTCCACGACCACGTCCACGTCCACGACCACGACCACGTCCACGACCACGTCCACGTCCACGTCCACGTCCACGTCCACGTCCACGTCCACGACCACGTCCACGTCCACGTCCCCGTCCAGGTCCACGTCCACGTCCACGTCCACGTCCCCGACCACGTCCACGTCCCCGTCCACGTCCGCGTCCAAGTCCACGTCCACGTCCGCGTCCCCAACCACGTCCACGTCCACGTCCGCGTCCACGTCCACGACCCCGTCCACGTCCACGTCCGCGTCCACGTCCACGTCCACGTCCACGTCCGCGTCCACGTCCACGAACCCGTCCACGACCACGTCCATGTCCACGACCACGACCACGTCCACGTCCACGTCTTCGTCCACGTCCACGTCCATGACCACGACCACGTCCACGACCACGTCCACTTCCACGTCCACGTCCACCTCCACGTCCACGTCCACGTCCACGTCAACGTCCACGAGCACGACCACGTCCACGACCACGTCCACGTCCACGACCAGGTCCACGTCCACGTCTACGTCCACGTCCACGTCCACGTCCACATCCATGTCCACGTCCAAGTCCACGTCCAGGTCCAGGTCCACGTCCAAGTCCACGTCCAGGTCCACGTCCACGCCCACGTCCACGTCCAGGTCCACGTCCAGGTCCACGTCCACCTCCACGTCCACGTCCACGTCCACGACCACGTCCACGTCCACGTCCACGTCCACCTCCACGTCCACGACCACGTCCATGGCCACGTCCACGACCACGTCCACGTCCACGTCCACGACCATGTCCACGACCACGTCCACGTCCACGTCGAGGTCCACGACCACGTCCACGTCCACGACCACGTCCACGTCCACGTCCACGTCCACGACCACGTCCACGACCACGTCCACGTCCACGTCCAGGTCCACGACCACATCCACGTCCACGTCCAAGTCCACGTCCACGTCCACGACCACGTCCACGTCCACGTCCACGTCCACGTCCAAGTCAACGTCCACGTCCACGACCACGTCCACATCCACGTCCACGTCCACGACCACGTCCACGTCCACGACCACGTCCACATCCACGTCTACGTCCACGTCCACGTCCTGGTCCACGTCCACGTCCACGACCACGTCCAGGACCACGTCCACGTCCATGTCCACGCCCACGTCCACGTCAACGTCCACATCCACGTCCCCGTCTACGTCCAGGTCCACGTCCAGGTCCACGTCCACGACAACGTCCACGTCCACGTCCTCCACGTCCACGTCCACCTCCTCCAAGTACATGTCCACGTCCACGTCCACGTCCACATCCACGACCTCGTCCACGTCCACGACCACGTCCACGTCCACGTCCACGACCACGTCCACGTCCACGTCCACGACCACGTCCACGTCCACGTCGTCCATGTCCTCCACGTCCAGGTCCACGTCCTCCACGTCCACGTCCACGTCCACGTCGACGTCCTCCACGTCCACGTTCACGTCCTCCACGTCCACGTGCACGTCCACGCCCACGTCCACGTCCACGTCCACGACCACGTCCACGTCCACGTCCACGTCCACGACCACGACCAGGTCCACGTCCACGTCCACGTCCACGTCAACGTCCACGACCACGCCCACGTCCACCTCCACGTCCACGTCCACGCCCACGTCTACGTCCACGTCCACGTCCACGTCCAGGTCCACGTCCACGTCCACGACCACGTCCACGTCCACGTCCCCGTCCACGTCCTCCACGTCCAGGTCCACGTCCTCCACGTCCACGTCCATGTCCGCGTCCACGTCTACGTCCTCCACGTTCACGTCCACGTTCTCCACGTCCACGTCCACGTCCACGACCACGTCGACGTCGACGTCGACGTCCACGACCACGTCCACGTCCACGTCCACGTCCACGAGCACGTCCACGATCACGTCCACGTCCACGTCCACGTCCACGTCCAAGTCCACGTCCACGTACACGTCCACGACCACGTCCACGTCCACGTCCACGACCACGTCCATGTCCACGTCCACGTCCAGGTCCACGTCCATGTCCACGTCCACGTCCAGGACCACGTCCATGTCCACGTCCACGTCCACGACCACGTCCACGTCCACGTCCACGTCCACGTCCAAGTCCATGTCCACGTCCATGTCCACGTCCACGACCACGTCCACGTCCACGACCACGTCCACGACCACGTCCACGTCCACGACCACGTCCACGACCACGTCCACGTCCACGTCCACGTCCACGCCCAAGTCCACGTCCAGGTCCACATCCACGTCCACGTGCATGTGCACGTCCACGTCCACGTTCAGGTCCACGTCCACGTACACGTCAACGTCCACGTCCATGACCACGTCCACGTCCACGTCAACGTCCACGACCACGTCCACGTCCACGTCCACGTCCATGTCCAGGACCACGTCCACGTCCACGTCCACGTCCACGACCAGGTCCACGTCCACGTCCACGTCCACTACCACGCCCACGTCCACCTCCACGTCCACGTCCATGCCCACGTCCACGTCCATGTCCACGTCCACGTCCAGGTCCACGTCCACGTCCACGTCCACGACCACGACCACGTCCACGACCACGTCCACGTCCACGTCCACGTCCATGTCCACGTCCACGTCCACGTCCACCTCCATGTCCACGTCCACGACCACGTCCACGTCCACGACCACGTCCACGACCACGTCCACGTCCACGTCCACGTCCAAGTCCAAGTCCACGTCCACGTCCACCCACATCCACGTCCACGTCCAGGTCCACGTCCACGTCCACGTGCACGTCCACGTCCACGTCCACGTCCACGTCCACGTCCACGTCCACGTCCACGTCCACGTCCACGTCGATGTCCACGTCCACGTCCATGTCCACGTCCACGTCCACGACCACGTCCACGTCCACGTCCACGTCCACGTCCACGTCCACGACCACGTCCACGTCCACGTCCACGTCCACGTCCACGTCCACGTCCAAGTCCTCAACGTCCACGTCCACGTCCACGTCCACGTCCAGGTCCACGTCCACGTCCACGACCACGTCCAGGTCCACGACCACGTTCACGTCCACGTCCACGTCCACGACCACGTCCACGACCACGTTCACGTCCACGTCCACGTCCATGTCCACGTCCACGTCCACGTCCACCTCCACGTCCATGTCCAGGCCAACGTCCACGTCCACCTCCACCTCCAGGTCCACGTCCACGTCCATGTCCATGTCCACGACCACGTCCACGTCCACGTCCACGTCAACGACCACGTCCACGTCCACGTCCACGACCACGACCACGTCCACGACCACGTCCACGTCCACGTTCACGTCCACCTCCACGTCCACGTCCACGTCCACGTCCACGACCACGTCCACGACCACGTCCACGTCCACGTCCACGTCTTGGTCCACGTCCACGTCCACGTCCACGTCCACGCCCACGTCCAAGTCCACGCCCACGTCCACGTCGACGTCCACGTCCACGTCGACGTCCACGTCCACGTCCAGGTCCACGTCCACGTTTACGTCCACGTCCACCTCCACCTCCACGTCCACCTCCACCTCCACGTCCACGTCCACGTCCACGTCCACGACCACGTCCACGTCCACGTCCACGACCACGTCCACGTCCACGACCACGTCCACGTCCATGTCCACATCCTCCACGTCCAGGTCCACGTCCTCCACGTCCACGTCCATGTCCACGTCCACGTCTACGTCCTCCACGTTCACGTCCACGTTCTCCACGTCCACGTCCACGTCCACGTCCACGTCCACGTACACGTCCACGACCACGTCCACGTCCACGTCCACGACCACGTCCACGTCCACGTCCACGTCCAGGTCCACGTCCACGACCACGTCCACGTACACGTCCACGTCCACGTCCACGTCCACGACCACGTCCACGTCCACGTCCACGTCCAGGTCCACATCCATGTCCACGACCACGTCCAGGACCACGTCCATGTCCACGTCCACGTCCAGGTCCACGTCCACGTCCACGTGCACGTCCAAGTCCACGTCCACGTCCACGTCTACGTCCACGTCCACGTCCACGTTCAGGTCCACGTCCACGTACACGTCAACGTCCACGTCCACGACCACGTCCACGTCCACGTCCACGACCACGTCCACGTCCACGTCCACGTCCAGGACCACGTCCACATCCACGTCCACGTCCACGACCAGGTCCACGTCCACGTCCACGTCCACGTCCACTACCACGCCCACGTCCACCTCCACGTCCACGTCCACGCCCACGTCTACGTCCACGTCCAGGTCCACGTCCAGGTCCACGTCCACGACCACGTCCACGTCCACCTCCACGTCCACGTCCACGTCCAAGTCCACGTCCACGTCCATGTCCATGTCCACGTCCACGTCCAAGTCCATGTCCACGTCCACGTCCACGTCCACGTCCACGTCCACGACCACGTCCAGGTCCACGACCACGTCCACGTCCACGTCCACGACCACGTCCACGTCCACGTCCACGTCCACGTCCACGTCCACGTCCACGTCCAGGTCCACGTCCACGTCCAAGTCCACGTCCACGTCCACGTCCACGACCACGTCCACGTCCACCTCCACGTCCACGTCCACGTCCACGACCACGTCCACGACAACGTCCATGTCCACGTCCACGTCCACGTCCACGACCACGTCCACGTCCACGACCACGTCCAAGTCCACGTCTACGTCTACGTCCACGTCTACGTCTACGACCACGTCAACGACCATGTCCACGTTCACGTCCACGACCACGACCACGTCTACGACAACGTCCACGTCCACCTCCACGTCCACGTCCACGTCAACGTCCACGACCACGTCCACGACCATGACCACGTCCACGACCACGTCCACGTCCACGTCCACGTCCATGTCCACGTCCATGTCCAGCTCCACGTCCACGTCCACGTCCATGTCCACGTCCACGCCTACGTCCACGTCCACGCCCACGTCCAGGTCCACGCCCACGTCCACGTGGACGTCCATGTCCACGTCGACGTCCACGTCCACGTCCACGTCCACGACCACGTCCAGGACCACCTCAACGTCCACGTCGACGCCCACGTCCACGTCCACGTCCACGTCCACGTCAACGTCCACATCCACGTCCACGTCTACGTCCAGGTCCACGTCCAGGTCCACGTCCACGTCCACGTCCACGTCCACGACCACGTCCATGACCACGTCCACGTCCACGTCCGTATCCACGTCCACGTCCACGTTCACGTCCACCTCCACGTCCACGTCCACGACCACGTCCTGATCCACGTCTAGATCCACGTCCACGTCCACGACCACGTCCTGATCCACGTCTAGATCCACGTCCACGTCCACGACCACGTCCACGACCACGTCCAGGTCCAGGTCCACGTCCAGGTCCACGTCCACGACCACGTCCACGTCCACGTCCACGTCCAAGTCCATGTCCATGTCCACGACCACGTCCACGACCACGTCCACGTCCACGTCCACGACCACCTCGACGTCTGCGCCCACGTCCACGTCCACGTCCATGACCACGTCCACGTCCACGACCACGTCCACGTCCACGACCACGTCCACGTCCACGTCCTCCACGTCCACGTCCTCCACGTCCACGTCCACGTCCACCACGTCCCCGACCACGTCTATGTCCACGTCCACGTCCACGTCCAAGTCCACGTCCACGTCCACGTCCACGACCACGTCCACAACCAAGTCCACGTCCACGTCCTCCACGTCCACGTCCACGTCCTCCACGTCCATGTCCACCACGTCCACGACCACGTCCACGACCACGTCCACGTCCACGACAACGTCCACGTCCAGAACGTCCACGTCCAGAACGTCCACGTCCACGTCCACGACCACGTCCACGTTTACGTCCACGTCCACGACCACGTCCACGTCCACGTCCACGTCCACCACCACGTCCACTTCCACGTCCAAGTCCACGACCATGTCCACGTCCACGTCCACGTCCTCCATGTCCACGTCCAAATCCACCAAGACCACGTCAACGACCACGTCCAGGTCCACGTCCAAGTCGACGTCCACGTCCACGACAACGTCCACGTCCACGACCACATCCACGTCCACGTCCACGTCCACGTCCACGTCCTCGTCCACGTCCACGTCCACCTCCACGACCACGTCCACTTCCACGTCCTAGTCCACGACCACGTTCACGTCAACGACCACGTCCACGTCCACGTCCACGATCACGTCCACGTCCACAACCAAGTCCACGTCCACGTCCACATCCACGTCCAAGACCACGTCCACGTCCACGTCCAATCCACGTCCTCCACGTCCACGTCCACGTCCTCCACGTCCACGTCCACGTCCACGTCACGTCCACGACCACGTCAACGACCACGTCCAGGTCCATGTCCACGTCCACGTCCACGTCCATGACCACGTCCACGTCCACGTCCACGACCACGTCCACGTCCACGTCCACGTCCATGTCCACTACGTCCACGACCATGTCCACCTCCATGACCACGTCCACCTCCACGTCCACGTCCACGTCCACGTCTACGTCCAAGTCCACGTCCACGTCCAAGTCCACGTCCACGACCACGTCCACGACCACGACCACGTCCACGACCACGTCCACGTCCACGTCCACGTCCATGTCCATGTCCACGTCCCCGGCCACCTCCACGTCCACGTCCACGTCCACGTCTACGTCCACGTCCACCTCCACGACCACGTCCACGACCACGTCCACGTCCACGTCCACCTCCACGTCCACGTCCACGTCCACGTCCACGACCACGTCCACGTCCACGTCAACGACCACGTCTACGTCCACGTCCACGTCCACGTCCACAACCACGTCCACGACCACGTCCACGTCCACGTCCACGTCCACGTCCACGTCCACGTCCACGTCCACGTCAACGTCCACGACCATGTCCACGACCACGACCACGTCCACGATCACGTCCACGTCCACGTCCACGTCCATGTCCACGTCCATGTCCAACTCCACGTCCACGTCTTCGTCCACGTCCACGTCCACGCCCACGTCCACGCCCACGTCCACGTCCACGCCCACGTCCACGTGGACGTCCACGTCCACGTCCACGTCCAGGTCCACGTCCACGTCCATGTCCACCTCCACGTCCACCTCCACGTCCACCTCCACCTCCACGCCCACGTCCACGTCCACGTCCAGGTCCTCGTCCAGGTCCAGGTCTACGTCCACGTCCACGTTCACGTCCATCTCCACATCCACGACCACGTCCACGTCCACGTCCACGTCCAAGACCACGTCCACGACCACGTCCACGTCCACGTCCACGTCCAAGACCACGTCCACGACCACGTCCACGTCCACGTCCACGTCCACGTCCACGTCGACGTCCACGTCCACGTCCACGACCACGCCCACGTCCACGCCTACGTCCACGTCCACGCCCACGTCCACGTCCACGTCCACGTCCACGTCCACGTCCACGACCACGTCCAGGACCACCTCAACGTCCACGTCCACGCCCACGTCCACGTCCACGTCCACGTCGATGTCAACGTCCACATCCACGTCCACGTCTACGTCCAGGTCCACGTCCAGGTCCACGTCCACGTCCACGTCCACGTCCACGACCACGTCCATGACCACGTCCACGTCCATGTCCGTGTCCACCTCCACGTCCACGTCCACGACCACGTCCTGATCCACGTCTTCATCCACGTCCACGTCCACGACCACGTCCGCGACCACGTCCAGGTCCAGGTCCACGTCCAGGTCCACGTCCACGACCACGTCCATGTCCACGTCCACGTCCACGACCACGTCCACGTCCACGTCCACGTCCACGACCACGTCCACGTCCACGTCCACGTCCACGTCCAAGTCCATGTCCATGTCCACGACCACGTCCACGACCACGTCCACATCCACGTCCACGACCACGTCCACGTCCACGACCACCTCGACGTCCGCGCCACGTCCACGTCCAGGTCCACGTCCACATCCACGTCTTCCACGTCCACGTCCTCCACGTCCACGTCCACGTCCACCACGTCCACGACCACGTCCACGTCCACGTCCACGTCCAAGTCCACGTCCACGTCCACGTCCACAACCACGTCCACAACCAAGTCCACGTCCACGTCCTCCACGTCCACGTCCACGTCCTCCACGTCCACGTCCACCACGTCCACGACCACGTCCACGACCACGTCCACGTCCACGACAACGTCCACGTCCAGAACGTCCACGTCCAGAACGTCCACGTCCACGTCCACGACCACGTCCACGTTTACGTCCACGTCCACGACCACGTCCACGTCCACGTCTACGTCCACGTCCACCACCACGTCCACGTCCACGTCCAAGTCCACGACCATGTCCACGTCCACGTCCACGTCCTCCACGTCCACGTCCACGTCCACGTCCACCAAGACCACGTCAACGACCACGTCCAGGTCCACGTCCACGTCGACGTCCACGTCCACGACCACATCCACGTCCACAACCACATCCACGTCCACGTCCACGTCCACGTCCAGGTCCTCGTCCACGTCCACGTCCACCTCCACGACCACGTCCACTTCCACGTCCACGTCCACGACCACGTCCACGTCAACGACCACGTCCACGTCCACGTCCACGATCACGTCCACGTCCACGTCCACGTCCACGTCCACGTCCACATCCACGTCCAAGACCACGTCCACGTCCAGTCCACGTCCTCCACGTCCACGTCCAAGTCCTCCACGTCCACGTCCACGTCCACGTCCACGTCACGTCCACGACCACGTCAACGACCACGTCCAGGTCCATGTCCACGTCCATGTCCACGTCCACGTCCACGACCACATCCACGTCCACGTCCACGACTACGTCCACGTTCACGTCCACGTCCACTACGTCCACGACCATGTCCACCTCCATGACCACGTCCACCTCCACGTCCACGTCCACGTCCACGTCTACGTCCAAGTCCACGTCCACGTCCAAGTCCACGTCCACGACCACGTCCACGTCCACGTCCACATCCACGTCCACGTCCAGGTCCACGTCCAGGTCCACGTCCACGTCCACGTCCAGGTCCACGTCCAGGTCCACGTCCACGACCACGTCCACGTCCACCTCCACGTCCACGTCCACGTCCACGTCCAAGTCCACGTCCACGTCCACGTCCATGTCCACGTCCACGTCCACGTCCATGTCCACGTCCACGTCCACGTCCACGTCCACGTCCACGTCCACGACCACGTCCAGGTCCACGACCACGTCCACGTCCACGTCCACGACCACGTCCACGTCCACCTTCACGTCCACGTCCACGTCCACGTCCAGGTCCACGTCCACGTCCAGGTCCACGTCCACGTCCACGTCCACGACCACGTCCACGTCCACCTCCATGTCCACGTCCACGACCACGTCCACGACAACGTCCATGTCCACGTCCACGTCCACGTCCACGACCACGTCCACGTCCACGACCACGTCCAAGTCCACGTCTACGTCTACGTCCACGTCTACGTCTACGACCACGTCAACGACCATGTCCACGTCCACGTCCACGTCCACGACCACGTCTACGACTACGTCCATGTCCACCTCCACGTCCACGTCCACGTCCACGTCAACGTCCACGACCACGTCCACGACCATGACCACGTCCACGACCACGTCCACGTCCACGTCCACGTCCATGTCCACGTCCATGTCCAGCTCCACATCCACGTCCACGTCCATGTCCACGTCCACGCCTACGTCCACGTCCACGCCCACGTCCAGGTCCACGCCCACGTCCACGTGGACGTCCATGTCCACGTCCACGTCCACGTCCACGTCCGTATCCACGTCCACGTCCACGTTCAGGTCCACCTCCACGTCCACGTCCACGACCACGTCCTGATCCACGTCTAGATCCACGTCCACGTCCACGACCACGTCCTGATCCACGTCTAGATCCACGTCCACGTCCACGACCACGTCCACGACCACGTCCAGGTCCAGGTCCACGTCCAGGTCCACATCCACGACCACGTCCATGTCCACGTCCACGTCCACGTCCACGACCACGTCCACGTCCACGTCCAAGTCCATGTCCATGTCCATGTCCACGACCACGTCCACGACCACGTCCACGTCCATGTCCACGACCACCTCGACGTCTGCGCCCACGTCCACGTCCATGTCCATGACCACGTCCACGTCCACGACCACGTCCACGTCCACAACCACGTCCACGTCCACGTCCTCCACGTCCACGTCCTCCACGTCCACGTCCACGTCCACCACGTCCACGACCACGTCTATGTCCACGTCCACGTCCACGTCCAAGTCCACGTCCACGTCCACGTCCACGACCACGTCCACAACCAAGTCCACGTCCACGTCCTCCACGTCCACGTCCACGTCCTCCACGTCCACGTCCACCACGTCCACGACCACTTCCACGACCACGTCCACGTCCACGACAACGTCCACGTCCAGAACGTCCACGTCCAGAACGTCCACGTCCATGTCCACGACCACGTCCACGTTTACGTCCACGTCCACGACCACGTCCACGTCCACGTCCACGTCCACGTCCACCACCACGTCCACTTCCACGTCCAAGTCCACGACCATGTCCACGTCCACGTCCTCCATGTCCACGTCCACGTCCACCAAGACCACGTCAACGACCACGTCCAGGTCCACGTCCACGTCGACGTCCACGTCCACGACCACGTCCACGTCCACGACCACATCCACGTCCACGTCCACGTCCACGTCCACGTCCTCGTCCACGTCCACGTCCACCTCCACGACCACGTCCACTTCCACGTCCTAGTCCACGACCACGTTCACGTCAACGACCACGTCCACGTCCACGTCCACGATCACGTCCACGTCCACAACCAAGTCCACGTCCACGTCCACATCCACGTCCGAGACCACGTCCACGTCCACGTCCAGTCCACGTCCTCCACGTCCACGTCCACGTCCTCCACGTCCACGTCCACGTCCACGTCCAAGTCCATGTCCACGTCCACGACCACGTCAACGACCACGTCCAGGTCCATGTCCACGTCCACGTCCACGTCCACGTCCATGACCACGTGCACGTCCACGTCCACGACCACGTCCACGTCCACGTCCACGTCCATGTCCACTACGTCCACGACCATGTCCACCTCCATGACCACGTCCACCTCCACGTCCACGTCCACGTCCACGTCTACGTCCAAGTCCACGTCCACGTCCAAGTCCACGTCCACGACCACGTCCACGACCACGACCACGTCCACGACCACGTCCACGTCCACGTCCACGTCCATGTCCATGTCCACGTCCCCGGCCACCTCCACGTCCATGTCCACGTCCACGTCTACGTCCACGTCCACCTCCACGACCACGTCCACGACCACGTCCACGTCCACGTCCACCTCCATGTCCACGTCCACGTCCACGTCCACGACCACGTCCACGCCCACGTCAACGACCACGTCTACGTCCACGTCCACGTCCACGTCCACGACCACGTCCACGACCACGTCCACGTCCACGTCCACGTCCACGTCCACGTCCACGTCCACGTCCACGTCAACGTCCACGACCACGTCCACGACCACGACCACGTCCACGTTCACGTCCACGTCCACGTCCACGTCCATGTCCACGTCCATGTCCAACTCCACGTCCACGTCTTCGTCCACGTCCACGTCCACGCCCACGTCCACGCCCACGTCCACGTCCACGCCCACGTCCACGTGGACGTCCACGTCCACGTCCACGTCCAGGTCCACGTCCACGTCCATGTCCACCTCCACGTCCACCTCCACGTCCACCTCCACCTCCACGCCCACGTCCACGTCCACGTCCAGGTCCTCGTCCAGGTCCAGGTCTACGTCCACGTCCACGTTCACGTCCATCTCCACATCCACGACCACGTCCACGTCCACGTCCACGTCCAAGACCACGTCCACGACCACGTCCACGTCCACGTCCACGTCCACGTCGACGTCCACCTCCACGTCCACGACCACGCCCACGTCCACGCCCACGTCCACGTCCACGCCCACGTCCACGTCCACGTCCACGTCCACGTCCACGTCCACGACCACGTCCACGACCACCTCAACGTCCACGTCCACGCCCACGTCCACGTCCACGTCCACGTCGATGTCAACGTCCACATCCACGTCCACGTCTACGTCCAGGTCCACGTCCAGGTCCACGTCCACGTCCACGTCCACGTCCACGACCACGTCCATGACCACGTCCACGTCCATGTCCGTGTCCACCTCCACGTCCACGTCCACGACCACGTCCTGATCCACGTCTACATCCACGTCCACGTCCACGACCACGTCCGCGACCACGTCCAGGTCCAGGTCCACGTCCAGGTCCACGTCCACGACCACGTCCATGTCCACGTCCACGTCCACGACCACGTCCACGTCCACGTCCACGTCCACGACCACGTCCACGTCCACGTCCACGTCCACGTCCAAGTCCATGTCCATGTCCACGACCACGTCCACGACCACGTCCACATCCACGTCCACGACCACGTCCACGTCCACGACCACCTCGACGTCCGCGCCACGTCCACGTCCAGGTCCACGTCCACATCCACGTCTTCCACGTCCACGTCCTCCACGTCCACGTCCACGTCTACCACGTCCACGACCACGTCCACGTCCACGTCCACGTCCAAGTCCACGTCCACGTCCACGTCCACGACCACGTCCACAACCAAGTCCACGTCCACGTCCTCCACGTCCACGTCCACGTCCTCCACGTCCACGTCCACCACGTCCGCGACCACGTCCACGACCACGTCCACGTCCACGACAACGTCCACGTCCAGAACGTCCACGTCCAGAACGTCCACGTCCACGTCCACGACCACGTCCACGTTTACGTCCACGTCCACGACCACGTCCACGTCCACGTCCACGTCTACGTCCACGTCCACCACCACGTCCACGTCCACGTCCAAGTCCACGACCATGTCCACGTCCACGTCCACGTCCTCCACGTCCACGTCCACGTCCACGTCCACCAAGACCACGTCAACGACCACGTCCAGGTCCACGTCCACGTCGACGTCCACGTCCACGACCACATCCACGTCCACAACCACATCCACGTCCACGTCCACGTCCACGTCCAGGTCCTCGTCCACGTCCACGTCCACCTCCACGACCACGTCCACTTCCACGTCCACGTCCACGACCACGTCCACGTCAACGACCACGTCCACGTCCACGTCCACGATCACGTCCACGTCCACGTCCACGTCCACGTCCACATCCACGTCCAAGACCACGTCCACGTCCAGTCCACGTCCTCCACGTCCACGTCCAAGTCCTCCACGTCCACGTCCACGTCCACGTCCACGTCACGTCCACGACCACGTCAACGACCACGTCCAGGTCCATGTCCACGTCCATGTCCACGTCCACGTCCACGACCACATCCACGTCCACGTCCACGACTACGTCCACGTTCACGTCCACGTCCACTACGTCCACGACCATGTCCACCTCCATGACCACGTCCACCTCCACGTCCACGTCCACGTCCACGTCTACGTCCAAGTCCACGTCCACGTCCAAGTCCACGTCCACGACCACGTCCACGTCCACGTCCACATCCACGTCCACGTCCAGGTCCACGTCCAGGTCCACGTCCACGTCCACGTCCAGGTCCACGTCCAGGTCCACGTCCACGACCACGTCCACGTCCACCTCCACGTCCACGTCCACGTCCACGTCCAAGTCCACGTCCACGTCCACGTCCATGTCCACGTCCACGTCCACGTCCATGTCCACGTCCACGTCCACGTCCACGTCCACGTCCACGTCCACGACCACGTCCAGGTCCACGACCACGTCCACGTCCACGTCCACGACCACGTCCACGTCCACCTTCACGTCCACGTCCACGTCCACGTCCAGGTCCACGTCCACGTCCAGGTCCACGTCCACGTCCACGTCCACGACCACGTCCACGTCCACCTCCATGTCCACGTCCACGACCACGTCCACGACAACGTCCATGTCCACGTCCACGTCCACGTCCACGACCACGTCCACGTCCACGACCACGTCCAAGTCCACGTCTACGTCTACGTCCACGTCTACGTCTACGACCACGTCAACGACCATGTCCACGTCCACGTCCACGTCCACGACCACGTCTACGACTACGTCCACGTCCACCTCCACGTCCACGTCCACGTCCACGTCAACGTCCACGACCACGTCCACGACCATGACCACGTCCACGACCACGTCCACGTCCACGTCCACGTCCATGTCCACGTCCATGTCCAGCTCCACATCCACGTCCACGTCCATGTCCACGTCCACGCCTACGTCCACGTCCACGCCCACGTCCAGGTCCACGCCCACGTCCACGTGGACGTCCATGTCCACGTCCACGTCCACGTCCACGTCCGTATCCACGTCCACGTCCACGTTCAGGTCCACCTCCACGTCCACGTCCACGACCACGTCCTGATCCACGTCTAGATCCACGTCCACGTCCACGACCACGTCCTGATCCACGTCTAGATCCACGTCCACGTCCACGACCACGTCCACGACCACGTCCAGGTCCAGGTCCACGTCCAGGTCCACGTCCACGACCACGTCCATGTCCACGTCCACGTCCACGTCCACGACCACGTCCACGTCCACGTCCAAGTCCATGTCCATGTCCATGTCCACGACCACGTCCACGACCACGTCCACGTCCACGTCCACGACCACCTCGACGTCTGCGCCCACGTCCACGTCCATGTCCATGACCACGTCCACGTCCACGACCACGTCCACGTCCACAACCACGTCCACGTCCACGTCCTCCACGTCCACGTCCTCCACGTCCACGTCCACGTCCACCACGTCCACGACCACGTCTATGTCCACGTCCACGTCCACGTCCAAGTCCACGTCCACGTCCACGTCCACGACCACGTCCACAACCAAGTCCACGTCCACGTCCTCCACGTCCACGTCCACGTCCTCCACGTCCACGTCCACCACGTCCACGACCACTTCCACGACCACGTCCACGTCCACGACAACGTCCACGTCCAGAACGTCCACGTCCAGAACGTCCACGTCCATGTCCACGACCACGTCCACGTTTACGTCCACGTCCACGACCACGTCCACGTCCACGTCCACGTCCACCACCACGTCCACTTCCACGTCCAAGTCCACGACCATGTCCACGTCCACGTCCTCCATGTCCACGTCCACGTCCACCAAGACCACGTCAACGACCACGTCCAGGTCCACGTCCACGTCGACGTCCACGTCCACGACCACGTCCACGTCCACGACCACATCCACGTCCACGTCCACGTCCACGTCCACGTCCTCGTCCACGTCCACGTCCACCTCCACGACCACGTCCACTTCCACGTCCTAGTCCACGACCACGTTCACGTCAACGACCACGTCCACGTCCACGTCCACGATCACGTCCACGTCCACAACCAAGTCCACGTCCACGTCCACATCCACGTCCGAGACCACGTCCACGTCCACGTCCAGTCCACGTCCTCCACGTCCACGTCCACGTCCTCCACGTCCACGTCCACGTCCACGTCACGTCCACGACCACGTCAACGACCACGTCCAGGTCCATGTCCACGTCCACGTCCACGTCCACGTCCATGACCACGTGCACGTCCACGTCCACGACCACGTCCACGTCCACGTCCACGTCCATGTCCACTACGTCCACGACCATGTCCACCTCCATGACCACGTCCACCTCCACGTCCACGTCCACGTCCACGTCTACGTCCAAGTCCACGTCCACGTCCAAGTCCACGTCCACGACCACGTCCACGACCACGACCACGTCCACGACCACGTCCACGTCCACGTCCACGTCCATGTCCATGTCCACGTCCCCGGCCACCTCCACGTCCATGTCCACGTCCACGTCTACGTCCACGTCCACCTCCACGACCACGTCCACGACCACGTCCACGTCCACGTCCACCTCCATGTCCACGTCCACGTCCACGTCCACGACCACGTCCACGCCCACGTCAACGACCACGTCTACGTCCACGTCCACGTCCACGTCCACGACCACGTCCACGACCACGTCCACGTCCACGTCCACGTCCACGTCCACGTCCACGTCCACGTCCACGTCCACGTCAACGTCCACGACCACGTCCACGACCACGACCACGTCCACGTTCACGTCCACGTCCACGTCCACGTCCATGTCCACGTCCATGTCCAACTCCACGTCCACGTCTTCGTCCACGTCCACGTCCACGCCCACGTCCACGCCCACGTCCACGTCCACGCCCACGTCCACGTGGACGTCCACGTCCATGTCCACGTCCAGGTCCACGTCCACATCCATGTCCACCTCCACGTCCACCTCCACGTCCACCTCCACCTCCACGCCCACGTCCACGTCCACGTCCAGGTCCTCGTCCAGGTCCAGGTCTACGTCCACGTCCACGTTCACGTCCATCTCCACATCCACGACCACGTCCACGTCCACGTCCACGTCCAAGACCACGTCCACGACCACGTCCACGTCCACGTCCACGTCCACGTCGACGTCCACCTCCACGTCCACGACCACGCCCACGTCCACGCCCACGTCCACGTCCACGCCCACGTCCACGTCCACGTCCACGTCCACGTCCACGTCCACGACCACGTCCACGACCACCTCAACGTCCACGTCCACGCCCACGTCCACGTCCACGTCCACGTCGATGTCAACGTCCACATCCACGTCCACGTCTACGTCCAGGTCCACGTCCAGGTCCACGTCCACGTCCACGTCCACGTCCACGACCACGTCCATGACCACGTCCACGTCCATGTCCGTGTCCAACTCCACGTCCACGTCCACGACCACGTCCTGATCCACGTCTACATCCACGTCCACGTCCACGACCACGTCCACGACCACGTTCAGGTCCAGGTCCACGTCCAGGTCCACGTCCACGACCACGTCCATGTCCACGTCCACGTCCACGACCACGTCCACGTCCACGTCCACGTCCACGACCACGTCCACGTCCACGTCCACGTCCACGTCCAAGTCCATGTCCATGTCCACGACCACGTCCACGACCACGTCCACGTCCACGTCCACGACCACGTCCACGTCCACGACCACCTCGACGTCCGCGCCACGTCCACGTCCACGTCCACGTCCACATCCACGTCCTCCACGTCCACGTCCTCCACGTCCACGTCCACGTCCACCACGTCCACGACCACGTCCACGTCCACGTCCACGTCCACGTCCAAGTCCACGTCCACGTCCACGTCCACGACCACGTCCACAACCAAGTCCACGTCCACGTCCTCCACGTCCACGTCCACGTCCTCCACGTCCACGTCCACCACGTCCACGACCACGTCCACAACCACGTCCACGTCCACGACAACGTCCACGTCCAGAACGTCCACGTCCAGAACGTCCACGTCCACGTCCACGACCACGTCCACGACCACGTCCACCTTTACGTCCACGTCCACGACCACGTCCACGTCCACGTCCACGTCCACGTCCACCACCACGTCCACGTCCACGTCCAAGTCCACGACCATGTCCACGTCCACATCCACGTCCTCCACATCCACGTCCACGTCCACGTCCACGTCCACCAAGACCACGTCAACGACCACGTCCAGGTCCACGTCCACGTCGACGTCCACGTCCACGACCACATCCACGTCCACAACCACATCCACGTCCACGTCCACGTCCACGTCAACGTCCTCGTCCACGTCCACGTCCACCTCCACGACCACGTCCACTTCCACGTCCACGTCCACGACCACGTCCACGTCAACGACCACGTCCACGTCCACGATCACGTCCACGTCCACGTCCACGTCCACGTCCACGTCCACATCCACGTCCAAGACCACGTCCACGTCCAGTCCACGTCCTCCACGTCCACGTCCACGTCACGTCCACGACCACGTCAACGACCACGTCCAGGTCCATGTCCACGTCCATGTCCACGTCCACGTCCACGACCACGTCCACGTCCACGACTACGTCCACGTTCACGTCCACGTCCACTACGTCCACGACCATGTCCACCTCCATGACCACGTCCACCTCCACGTCCACGTCCACGTCCACGTCTACGTCCAAGTCCACGTCCACGTCCAAGTCCACGTC